TAATTCTGTCCAGTCTAGAAAAGACATTCCAAGCATTAGTTGTTTTTTATGCATTTAGGAAATCAACACATAATAAAAGTAACCAGTTAAGGAGACAACATAGCATTACACACTATCACACTAAAGCCACCATGTTTGGTTTCAACTAGCTTGACTTTCTGTCTCTCAGTTTATGGGATATTCTTAAAGAATATTCTTTGTTTGCTTTTTACAAATGTGAAATTAGTCTTTGTGTTTGTCCCAGACAGTTTTTCTTTCTTTCTTTTTTTTTTTTTTTTTACTTTTAACCACTACAGAAATGCAACTTGTGTCTATGTTACATCATGAGCACTGATTTCAACTGATAGCTGTAGTTTGTTAAATGTTGCTTAGATTCTTTGAGATCTCAAGGAAAGATTCCCCTGTGTATTCCTGTTTCTCCGGTGTAGTCCTGTTTCTCTGACTGTAACTGCCTGGATGTGCTCTCTTCATCCTCTGACATGGGAGCTGGCTCGGAGCTCGTCTGCCTGGCTTTGTGTTTCCTGGATGGGGCCGCCTTTTACAGCAGCTTTTTGTATCTCTGCTTCTGTCTCCTTGAACCCCAGTCGGCCTCGGCAGATGGCCGCTCACACTGAGCCTGGTTCTGCTGGAGGTTTCTTCCTGTTAAAAGGGAGGTTTTCCTCTCCACTGTTGCTACAAGCATGCTTAGTGTGTGAGGGATTGCATTCGAGTGAATGAGTCAATGCAATCAACTGGTTTTCCTTAGATAGAAAACTTTGAATCAATCTGACTGTATGATCTGGTGAACTGTAAAGTGCCTTGAGATTACATGTTTTGTGAATTGGAGCTATATAAATAAACTGAACTGAACCTGTAATTTGTTTTTCTCTTCATTTCTGAATGAGGCTTAATGTGTAAAAAAAAAGGTTTATAAATATCCAAACAGATCATCTGAAACTTTGTATCCATTTGTTTTTAAATTGTCTTTTTAATTTGTAAAAATATTTAAGCCAATATTACTACAGGCCTGGCAATAATTACCCTTCTTTTTGGCTATCGAAATTGTGAAAGAAAAATTCAAACAATATGGTAATAATAAACATAATGGAAATTATATAAATTTTTTACATTTAGCCATTTTTTTTTTTGTTAGAAAGATGTTTGACATTAGAGTGAGACAATAAAAGCTCCAAAATAACAAATCTGAAAAATGGAAAAAGTTTTCCATGTCACTTGCTTTTAACTGCTTACTGTAGATCATAAGTTATTATTGGTAGAGGTACGATTCTTTTACAGCTTTATATTCTACAGTTATATATTGTTAGGCAAGCAGTACTTTGCAATAAAACATGTCTTAAAACTTATTTCTTGCCTACAACATGTATAACCACTCAATCTGTATAAGAAAACTATATTGTTTGATTTAACAGTCAGTCCAAATATACAGGGGATCAAAATGGCATTAAAAACCAAAGACTAAAAGCAAAATATTCAGTACTTTGAACACTATATATTCATAAAAGTCACAAAGAGACAAAGATTTGGACTTTATTCTCCGTTATCATGAAAACAGTCTGAAAAAACAGCTATCAAGGTCAACACTAAAGTAAAGAAGGAAGTCGATTTTTTTCGGGTACTGCGTTAAACTGTGACTTTAATTAACCACCCAATACTCTCTCCGCTTATTCTACCTTGAAAACATGTCTTATGTTCTCATTTAAACAACTCTGTTGTTTATGGTGGACATAAACATGGTAGAAAACAGCTCCATCTTATGGGAACAAAGCATAATGCATGATGGGATGCAGGGATAAGTGTGACTCTTTCACAGGCCTTCTAAATGCATATTTATCACACATTTCTGTATTCTACAGCCTTTAATGCAAATACATCAGCAATAATAAAATAGTTGCTGTAGTGTTTTTTTCTGTAAATATATGACTTATTTTACTTTTTTTAAAATATAGGATGAACTTAAATTTTAAGAGTAGCTTTTATATCACTAATATTACATTAATCTAGACCCTTCTCAACAGAATTGTGGAATGAGAAACAAGTTTACTTTACTTGTTAGTGTATCCTTTAAGCTTATGCAATATATTTTTCTTTCTTATTTCTAATGTACAGCACTTTGGTGTGTTTTTTCCATTGAATTGTACATTAGAAGATTAGAAAAGGTCTAAGGATTGGTTTCTGAAGGTTTAATTAAAGCTTTCTTAAAGCCTGAGGTACATATAATTTTAACAGGAATAAATTAATCATATCTAAAATAGAGGTGAAAATCAGAGGGAATGCTTCTTTAAATAACTTTGTTAGACCTGGTCCTAAAATACAAGTTGAAGGCTTTGAAGCAGCAGTCCTAACCCAGTTTAGTTCCTATGGTTACCTCAAATGCTACTTCGCCTTCCAGAGATCCATCCATCCATTTAACATCATGCTTATCCCTGCTAGGGTCATGAGGGCTGCTGGTGCCCATTTCCAGCTGTCAAGGGCTGAGAATCCAACCTAGAACAATATTGCTGCAAGGCAGCAGTGCTACCCACTGGCTCACTGTGTAGCCCCCTTTCAGAGATTAAATAGCTACACTATATTGCCAAAAGTATTTGCTCACCCATCCAAATTATTGGAATCAGGTGTTCCAATCACTTCCATGGCCACAGGTGTATAAATTCAAGCACCTAGGCATGCAGACTGTTTTTACAAACATTTGTGAAAGAATGGGTCGCTCTCAGGAGCTCAGTGAATTCCAGCGTGGAACTGTGATAGGATGCCACCTGTGCAACAAATCCAGTCGTGAAATTTCCTCGCTCCTAAATATTCCACAGTCAACTGTCAGCTGTATTATAAGAAAATGGAAGTGTTTGGGAACGACAGCAACTCAGCCACGAAGTGGTAGGCCACGTAAACTGACGGAGCGGGGTCAGCGGATGCTGAAGCGCATAGTGCGAAGAGGTCGCCAACTTTCTGCAGAGTCAATCACTACAGACCTCCAAACTTCATGTGGCCTTCATATTAGCTCAAGAACAGTGCGCAGAGAGCTTCATGGAATGGGTTTCCATGGTCGAGCAGCTGCATCCAAGCCATACATCACCAAGTGCAATGCAAAGCGTCGGATGCGGTGGTGTAAAGCACGCCGCCACTGGACTCTAGAGCAGTGGAGACGCGTTCTCTGGAGTGACGAATCGCGCTTCTCCATCTGGCAATCTGATGGACGGGTCTGGGTTTGGCGGTTGCCAGGAGAACGGTACTTGTCTGACTGCATTGTGCCAAGTGTAAAGTTTGGTGGAGGGGGGATTATGGTGTGGGGTTGTTTTTCAGGAGCTGGGCTTGGCCCCTTAGTTCCAGTGAAAGGAACTCTGAATGCTTCAGCATACCAAGACATTTTGGACAATTCCATGCTCCCAACTTTGTGGGAACAGTTTGGAGCTGGCCCCTTCCTCTTCCAACATGACTGTGCACCAGTGCACAAAGCAAGGTCCATAAAGACATGGATGACAGAGTCTGGTGTGGATGAACTTGACTGGCCTGCACAGAGTCCTGACCTCAACCCGATAGAACACCTTTGGGATGAATTAGAGCGGAGACTGAGAGCCAGGCCTTCTCGTCCAACATCAGTGTGCGACCTCACAAATGCGCTTCTGGAAGAATGGTCAAAAATTCCCATAAACACACTCCTAAACCTTGTGGACAGCCTTCCCAGAAGAGTTGAAGCTGTTCTAGCTGCAAAGGGTGGACCGACGTCATATTGAACCCTATGGATTAGGAACGGGATGTCACTTAAGCTCATATGTGAGTCAAGGCAGGTGAGCAAATACTTTTGGCAATATAGTGTATATTTAGAGAGGAGCTAAGTATCTCATTTTTAATAGAATCAATCTTATATATAAATAATATAAAAATATTGCTGCTAAGAGCAGGGAGGGGGGGTGAACAGTTCAACAGCACTATGGCTCTGGGTAAGTTTGACATCTGCATTAAAAAGACAGCTACAATTATTCTTATTCTCCTTTATTAATGAAGATAAATATGTTGCTCTTGCTTTATGAGATCTGTTTTTACAGCAGCAAAGTTTTTCCAGACTAGGTAGGATTCCTGTAGGCATTGAGAGCATAATTTTCTCTCCAAATTTTATGGGTATTTTGCTTTAAAGTGCACAGCTCTATATTAAACCAAGGATGCAGCTTTCTATTTCTAGTTTTTCTTTTTCAAAGGGTAGTTTGCACAACAGCATGTGAAATTATCAGTGTTGCTTCCTGAGTGGTCAGTTTGATTTTATATAAGTTTAATTGAAGCTATGTTACCTTTTTAACTAGTGTGTGTATGTATGTATATATATATCCATCTTCTTCGGCTTATCCAGGGTCGGGTCGTGGGGGTAGCAGCTTCAGCAGGGAGGCCCAGAGGTCGCTCTACCCAGCCACTTGGGCCAGCTCCTCCGGGGAAAGGCCTTCCCAGGCCAGCCGAGAAACAGTCCCTCCAGCGTGTCCTGGGTCTCTCTCTGGGCCTTCTCCCAGTGGAACATGCCCGGAACACCTCACCAGGAATGTGTCATCCTAACTGGTTCCTCTCAACATGGAGGAACAGTGGCTCTACTCTCAGTCCCCGGATGACTGAGCTCCTCACCCTATCTCTAAGGGAGAGCCCAGACACACTATGGAGAACACTCAATTTGGCCAATTGTATCCGGGATCTCGTTCTTTTGGGCATGACCGAAAGCTGGCATGACCATAGATGAGGGTAGGAACGTAGATCGACTGGGGGAAAAAAAAGAAAAATCGAGAGCTTTGCCTTTTGGCTCAGCTCTCTCTTCACCACAATGGACCAGTACAGCCCACACTTCACAGCAGACACTGCACCAATCCGCCAGTCGATTTCCTGCTCCATCTTCCCCTCATTCGTGTACTACAGAAACATATACATATGAACAAAACCATACATCAATGATGCAGGACTAAAATTAATCTGTGCTCTAAAAAAAGAAAACTATCTGAATAAACTAAAATCACCAGCGTCCGTACTCGTTCAGTAACAAAACGTTTTTATTGGCTTCTCAAATCCGTTCATCTCAACAGGTATTGCCTGGGAAATCATGACACAAGGACTCTAGATCAAATAAGACAGGAACTGGGGAGAGGGGGAAGATCTGCTACAAAAATTTGGTATTGAGGTGACAAAAAAAAAAAAAAGCAGTACAAAAATGTTTTCATGCAAACTGGAAAAACAAAACAGATTTTTAGTGTTTTTGTACATTTTGTAAACAATATCCTTCTAGAGATCATATCAAAACACATTATGGCAAGTAACAAAAATAAGGGATATAATGAGAAGAATGTTCTATGAGGCATCTATAATTCAACACTGCTTGGCGTGGATGTTTCTTTTTTTACAGAAAACAAAAATAATACATTTGCATTTTGATGAGTCGTTTGCTCTAAAACTGTAAACACAGGCAGTGTTAAATGATTATACAATATGTCGAACCTATACTACAAATATGTCCACTACATACAACGCGTGTCCCTGCTTTTTTTTCCTTTAACGCTTTAATGATATGAGGTATATTTAGGTCAATCTTTTTGTCTTTTTTTTCTCTCCCCTCCATCTCATCCACTCATTTTTTTTCTCTTCTTTAAAAGCATAGTGTGTTTGGAGCGAAGTTGCTGGTCAGTAAGTCTTTGTTCCATATGATCTGAGCAGCTTCGAAGTCTCTGGCGGAGCTGTGGTACTCACAGACAGGGGAAAAGGAAGGAAAGAGGGGGGGGTCACAGGAAATCAACTAAATTAAATATCAACCCTGGCTGCCAGACAGATTGGCTTTAGCCAAGGAAGACAAAGAAGGCCATTGTTTATTCTTGTGAGTGCAGGGCTGCATTTTGGGTTCGGGAGATGGATTAAACTGGAGTTTTCTGGACCATGTTACTGAAACCCCTTCTTGTAAAGAATAAAAACAACAACAAAAACAAAGAGGTGAAGGATTTGGATTAGGTCCGTGATTATTTGCCTAAAAGGATCTGCTACAAAGTCAGTTTGAGTGATGCTATTGGTAAATAAATAGAAAAGGTATGTAACCAACATACCCGTATAAGGGATCCAGCATGTCAGCCCAACTCTCAAAAACACTTAAATACAAAGAGGTACTCTCAAAATATTGTATAACAAAATTATGGCAAATTGTCTTTTTACATCACCCGAAAAACCGGAAATAAAAATAAAAAAAATCCCACCCATTCTATCCCTCTTAATCTACCCCTCAAAATAAAAAGCACAAAATACCCTTAAATGCCCACGGCCAAACCCTCATCAAATCACTTGGCCGACCCTCCCATCAACCCTCCCTCCCTCCCTCCCTTTCACAGTTTTCTCCTCTTAAAAATAGCAATAACCATTAGCATAATAATCACGATCACATATGCAAATTGAACGGGTTATTGTTGTTTCCAATGATTTGTTTAAAAAAGTGCTTGTTTGATTCCATTGACACAAGGAACAGCAAGGAGTGGAGTAGAAAAGTGGTGACTTATTTAAAAAAAAAAACAACTAAATAAACGGCATGATCAAAAGATCGCCATCTCAATGCTCGTTGCATCCTGCACAGTTACTTCTAGATAGAAATTAGTCACCTGATGCTACAATACTCAGTAATGTTGAAACAACTAGATACGAAACGAGCCGCGTGAAAAACAACGGGCAACTCTGCTACAGCTGATAGAAATCCATGCAGACGCGGCTGTTAGAAATGTCGATGTCTTCACACTGAGACAACAGTACCATAATCTCGACAAAGCTATGCGCAGTAGAAACCAAACATTACCGTGTATTGTCATTTTTGTTGTTCTTACAAGTAATAAAATAAAAAACTAACTAAGAAACGAAAAAAAGCTTTGTAGTCTCAAAATACGCCTGTAAAAACTGTGCTAATTGCATCTCAAAATACAAAGTCTTATTACACAATTTTGCCTATTTTCCTGAGTTCATATGTTTCTTGTAACAGACAATATATTTTTTTTTTTTGCCATTTGAATTCTGGGCCTTTCCCTGACACAAAGTTATTATTATTGAAATCATCAACATAATTCATTACTTTACAATGGTATGATGATTGCTAAAAAAAATCACAAACAGTTCAGAAAAAGGAGGAAAAAAATAAGCATGTTCATAGCTACCCTCTAAATGTTTTTTCTTTTTAAATTACATTTAAATCTACGGTAAGTTCATATCAAAAATCACTACTCTTTAACAAAAACATATGTGACTACAAGATAAAAATGAGAATATCTTTTAAAAAATTGCATTTTGAGGCCATAAAAGACCCTCCCTGGTCATTTTGTATTAACAATTAATGGCAGTGTTCATAAAAAAAAAAAAACTTTGCTACAGGAACAAAACTGGAGCGTCTGTGGAGGCTCGGTGGACAGCGATGAAAAATGCCCCCCCCTTAGAGCTTCACCTCGTTTGACCCTTATCTGAAACTTTGGCTTGTTGGGGTTTTTGATCCTGTACTCACTGGCTCGCTGACGTCAGCTAACAAGCTGGTATACCCTGAGAATTCTGACACTGGAGTCCGTATTCTGTGGTCCACCTCTGCTCCCGGGTCGCTGCCGTAGCTCAGAGGGGTTCGCCGGCCGGACTTGAACTGGGAGCCGAAGGCCTGGGCGAAGTTCTCGATCTGGTACGTCGTTTCTTTCGGAGGGTTGAGTGGGGACAGGTCTGGGTAGCTGGAGCCGTTGGAAGCCCCTCCGCTACCTCCTGTCTTCGACTGCTGCCCCTTTGAGCCCTCGGAAGTGGTGAGTTCCTGCGGCGGGAGGTTGAAGGTGCCTGGGGAGTGTTGCTTCTCCAGCTGCTCGGTCAGCTCCTGAGACGGAGTCAGCTGCTGGTGGCTGGTAGATTCTAGGCTGAGGTGGTAGCTCGCTTGAGAGGGGGATCCGACGAGTAATCCATAATGTGACTTTGAGGAGGATGAAGAGGAGGCCGACGAAGGGGGAGCAATGGGCAGAGGAGAGGAGACGGCGGGCGGGTAGACGCAATCTAAAGGGGAGGAGCCGTACGCATGTTTGTCTGAGAACAGGGGGCCGGTGGGGCTGGAGCTGCTGGACAGAAGAGGGAAAGGACCCGTCGGGCCGAGGCTAGGGAAGGGTCCGCTATGGCTGGTGCGCTCCAAGGCCTGTAGGAGGAATTTGGAGTACTCGCTCATTACTGCCGTTTTGTCACCCCCATTGGGGGAGTCATCTTCCAATTCAGGGGTGACGGGAGCTGCTGGCTGGAGATCCACGTGGTGCGGGTGGTCGGACAGGTCAAAAGTCACATCGTGGTGGGGTCCCTCTGGTTTATGGCTGTAATGATCGAGCAGACTTTGCAGTACCTCGTCTGGAATGCCTGATTTATCGTGTTTGAGTTCAAGTGGCGAGGAGTCCAGCATGGCCAGGGTGGGCTCCGGCCCCAGAGAACCCTGAATTACGTTGTTACCCTGGGAAGCCATGTGAAGAGACCCAGCTCCATAGTCATTGTTGACAGCATGGAGATAGCGCCGCTTTTTGACAAACTGCATTGCATCATCATAGTTGCTGCTGGTGGTGGGACCTGGCTTGTTGCCCCCAGGCCCCTGAAGTAGACCCATGTTATCGAGGGCAGAAGCCTCTGCATGATCCATCGCATCAGGCTTCTGGCCCAACAGCTTCTGTCCATCTGCACCATCTTCCAGGGACATGAGGCCCTTGTCTAGCCCTTTGCGTCCGGTTTTCTTAAAGACCAATTTGGGGGAACGCCCCTGCATCGTTGGATCAGAGCCTGAGGGGTGCTCCATACTGAAGTCCTGTAGGCCCAGGTCACGGGCCATCCCCCCAGAGGAAGCTGCTGCTGAGGCATTCTTTTTCTTCTTGCGTTCCCCACCTTCGCCGTTTTTAGATTTTCCCCTCTTGCGTCCCGAGGTGGTTGAGTTTCCCTGAGAGAGTGAATAGCTGCCTTGGCCTAGCTCCGATTCACTGAGCTCCAGCATGTTTGGATCTAGAACCTTCTTTATGGCTTCTCCACAAGTCCGTTTGTGCTTCAGTAACCGGTCTGTTCTTGAGAAGAACTAAACAAAAGAAAAAGGGAATCTTAGAAGTGAAACAAAAAAAACCCATCTTGTTCACAAATGAAAAACAAACACCTAGCCGCATTTACAGATTGTATTCAAACCAGCAGAGTATTTTGGTCAGGTTGCTTGGTCCTGACCAAAAGTAAATTTTTATTTTTAGTTTGGTGCTGTTTGTATTAAAATTGTAGTTTTGCAGCTTCTAGCAAAGCAATATGTTTGATGATAATTTCTCCCATTGGTCAGAAATGACTGACAGGACTGAGCGAAGAGCTGGAAATTGAGTAAAACTTCAATGGCAGCAACAAGGTATGTCTCCTTTAAGCCATTCCTTGCTGGAACCTTGTGGCTTACCAAGTTTAATAAGACTTATGCTTTATGAATTTGAGTCCGACTAAGACTACTTCAAACAAAGGATCTGGGCCAAAGAGGGAAATTAACCCACAATCAAATTATCTCAAATCCGTAAGGACACTGAGGTACGTCAGCAGTCATCATAGCTGCTATCTGAATAGTGCTTTCAGTAAGGAAGGATGCTATACTAGCCCAAATAATTTAGCAAAGGGAGCTTCTAATGTTCCGAGCCAACACTAGGAGCTACTAGGAGTAATGTTAGGCGCAGCCTACCTCACAGTTTAACAAAATGTAATAATTTCTCCAAGTTTACACTGTGTCACTCATGCCAAGTACACACCTTCACACGTTTAGGGTTTGTTAACGGGGAGCTTCAGATTTTGTGCTATTTTTGTGTAACTTTTTGTTTTTGTAGTTCTTGCCCCAGAACGCTGTAGTCTTAATCAGATCATTGTCAATTATGCGAGTCTGACCTCCAAAAAGCTAAGGAATTCAACTCAGCAGTCCAGATCTCTTTTCTTACCCCAGATAGAGTTCTAATGTGGTAGGTGTGAACACACCCCATATTGTGACTTGAATGGTACCCAACAAGCTGAATGCTAAAGGCTTATTTGAAACCATCATAAATACTAGTGAATTTACATGGGAGAAAGAAGTTTGAAAAGGAAGAACATTACCTGTTGGCATGTATCGCAGCGGTAAGGCTTCTCCCCGCTGTGTGTCCTTTTATGTCGCTCCATGTGGTACTTCTGGATAAAACGCATGTTACACTGGTCACAGCTGAAAGGTTTTTCCCCTGCAAGAGACAAATGTAAAAATGTTACTTGGCAAAGATTATGATGGGAAAACATGCATCTCGACAAAGGCTTAGTATATGATAAATTTGCCTGCTGTCACTCACCACTGTGAATTTTCTCATGCCGCTGGAGAAGATATTTCTGAATGAAGCTCATATTACACTGACTGCATCGGAAAGGCCTCTCACCTGTGATATCAAGAACAAATACATTTGCACACAACATTAAAGAAAACTTTGCAACATGTAGAAAAGACAGAACAGAAATACTCTTTGTTTTTGGCATGAAGACTTATTGGAAACAATATTGTTCCCACCCAGATAAACACTACAGGTACACCATTTATTTCTTTGGGTTGCAACAGCTACTTTGAATGTAAAAAAAAACCAAGAGAAGATAAAATTGGATTAGTAAAATACTGTCTAAATCAGCAGTCGGATAAAAGTATTTTATTTACTGCTGTACAATAGTACCGATATTTTTTTAACCATTCAGGTAATTCAAGATTCCGAAAGACCATAAAAAATAAATAAAAAAATATATATATTTTTACAGATACAATTAACTGAATTTAGAGCAAAAAAAATATTAATAAATAAAGAAAAAATCTATCCACCTTTCATCATTTCAAATAAAAAAGTGTCATGTTTTTTGTAGGATAAAGAGTTTTCTGAGACAACAGCTCTAATGAAAGCTTTTGTATTTGTTCATAAGAGATTCTAAACAATATCTCATATTCAGAAGATTTTAAAAGTTGTTATTTATTATTTTTTTTTTTTTTTTTATTATTATTTTTTTTTTTTTCACAGATCAAAATAAAAACTCAGAATACACCAATAGAATAAAATAAAAAAATGTGATGGAGTGTGACAGAAACCCTTTAGGGCTTATACCAAGGCCACACCCGTAAACCAACAAAATATCAGGCAGCTCACATTATGAAAGTCCTTTCAGAGAAAACAAAATAGACATATACAGTAACATTATTTTTACATTTTAGCATTCAGATTTCAGGGGGTCAAATTTTTGTAAAATCACACATCACTGTCTTTTTTGGATAACAGTATTTTTTTCAAAGACTTTCTACCATTTATTTCTGAAGATTCCAAATATTTTCCATATTCATTCCATAATTTTGCACCACGATGCCGAAAAGAAAATTGCACTTGAGTTTTAATACTTAACGGTAAATGAAAAGACAAAGCTTGTCTAGTATTATAAGAATGCACTTGGCAGTTCTTAACAAAATATTTCTTAAAAGTATCAGGAGACTTACCTTGTTTTATCATAAAAATAAAGGTACATGTTTGATAAATATTAATTTCAAAAATATTCAACAGCTGTAATTTGGAAAAAAGAGGAGCACTAGCTGCATCAACTTTAGAGAATGTTGCTAAGCGAACAAAAGCTTTTTGCAAAAGTAGTATTTTTTTAAGATAACTAGGAAATGTACTTGCCCAAACAATATTACAGTATGACAGGTATGGATAGATTAATGAATAATATAGAGTTAACATCACTTTATTGTGAACAAAATTTCTAATCCTTCTCAAAATACCTAGAGATTTAGTGACTTTTTTGCAGACTGTACCAATTTGTTCTCTCCAAAGGAGTTTGTCGTCAAGTTGGACACCCAAAAAACGAACAGTAGAAACTTTATCAATTTGTTGGTTTTGAATACAAATTCTTATATTATCAAATGTGTAATTTTTGTGCCCAGCAAAAACCATGAAATTACATTTTTTCACATTCAAAGATAACTTATTGGCTTGGAACCAGGTTGAAAACTGGGCTAGATCTCTGTTCAAATTCTCTGTAATAGTAGTCAAGTCTTTATGAGAGATTAGAAAATTAGTATCATCTGCAAACAGAATAGGTATTGTAGAACTTGTGACATTAGCAAGATCATTAATGTAAACTAAAAACAATAAAGGTCCAAGGATGGAGCCCTGCGGTACTCCAAATTGTATTGAGTTTTGCTTTGAATCAAAACCATTCATTGATACATACTGATATCTATTTTTTACATAACTAGTTAACCATTTATGAACAAAACCTTGAAACCCATATTTAAATAACTTTTTCAGTAAAATTTCATGATGAACAGTATCAAATGCTTTAGAGAGATCCAAGAACACTCCTATTGTATATTCATTATTGTTTAACGCAGTTAATATTCTGTCAGTAAGTTCTACAAGTGCCATATAGGTGGAATAATTCTTCCTAAAACCATATTGATACTGATAGATTATATTATGTTTATTTAAATGTTTTAATAATCTTTTATAAATCAATTTTTCTAAATCTTTTGAAAAACATGGTAAAACGGAAACAGGACGGTAATTTGTGAACATACTTGGGTCACCAGTTTTAAATACAGGGATGACTTTAGCTACTTTTAAATCTGTAGGGACAATACCAGTAATCATTGACAGTGCACATATGTGTGTCAGAGGTTTGCTCAATGGGGTCTGCACATATTTTATCAGAGAGGCTCTAATGCCATCATGCCCTGGAGCTGAGTTTTTTAACTGCATTATAACCTCACACACTTCATTACTGTTTGGAAGATCAAAGCTATCCATTATTGGAAATGAATCTTTAATATAGTCAACTGGATCAATCGTTGTGTTTTGGATCTTGTTGGCAAGTGTGATACCTATACTTGAAAAAAAATTATTAAAATGACAAACAATTTTATATGGATCAGACAGAACAGAGTTTCCATTAACAAAAGTTGAAGGAAACTTTGATGCAGCCTTTTTTCTTTGTAATAATTGGTTAATCGTTTTCCAAGTGTTTTTTATATTATTTAAACATTTTCTAAACTGATTGCTGTAATATTTTTTCTTAGATGCTCTCAACAAATGAGCAAATTTATTTTTATATAATTTATATGTAGCCAGATTTAGTGGAGTTGGGCATGTAAGATATTTTTTATATAATTTATTTTTAATTCTAGAAGATTTTTTCAAGCCACTTGTAAACCAAGGGTTATTTTTCCTCACAACTCCATGCATTAATGGGAAACATTTATCAAAACAAGAATTAAACAGTTTTATGAACACTTTATAGGCAGAATTTGGTTCATTTTCATTATAAACTTCATCAAAAGAAATTTCTTGTATCATTTTTTTAAATTTGATTTTATTTGATTTACTAAAATTTCTAAAGTATTGAGTTTCAACTTGTCTTGTCTTCACATTTTCATTATATTTTGCAAAAAGAAATACTGGTAAATGATCAGTTATGTCTGTAAATAATAGCCCAGACATCGTATCATATGACAAAGTATTAAACAGTATATTGTCGATCAAAGTTGCAGATTGATTAGTTATCCTGGTTGGTTTGTCTATAGCTGGAAAAAAATAATTAGCATGCAGCATATTTAGAAATTCATTTGTCGGACCATGAATTTCACTTTTCAAAATATTAATATTAAAATCTCCCATAATATAACATATTTTGTCTTCTTGATTTATTTTTCCAAGAACTTTGTTCATTCCATCATTAAATTTAATAATATCAACATCAGGTGGCTTATAAATTTGACCAATCACAATATTTTTGTTTTTTGAAGTCTCAAGCTCGACAAACGTTGATTCTATATTAAATTCTTCATTATTGAGAATTAGATCATCTCGTTGAATAAATTTAAAATTTTGTTTCACAAAAATTGACAGCCCTCCCCCTGTTCGGTTCTGCCTGATAGTATGGACAGAGTTGTATCCTGGCAGTTCATATAAACCAGATTCTTTAGAATTTTCTGTAAGCCATGTTTCACTGAGGCCAACAACCGAAAATGAATGATTTAATGTAGATAGGAATGTGACTAAGTGATCATAATTTTTAGGAAGACTACGTATATTCAAATTGAGTAGAGAAAAGCTCCTAAAAATAATGGTAATAAAATATATACTACCAGAGTTTGATATTTGGCACATCTAATAGATTTATCCAAAAGAACAGATAAAAATCTATACAACTACTAGCAAGTAAATTAAACAAGTTTCAATAAGGGTTTTATTAAACTGTTCATTTCCAAGTAGACAGTAATAACAGTTTGCTAGATTTTATACACGAAAATCTAATCATATTGTCCAATAAAGACTAATCTGAAAATATCAAAAGGAATTACTAGATAAAAATAATCTTAGGTCAATAGGATTCTAGGTAGGGGGCTCCACACACAGCTGCAAATTTCATTCCCCACAAACCAAAATAGTAGATTTTAAGCTCAGTCTTATACTAAACTGTTAAAGATGCATCGACATACAGCATCTCTAAAAAAATGCTGATTCATGAGACACATTCTCTGAAGTTTAAAGAGTTTTGCACAGAACTACAAAAACAACAAAGTAAAAGAGAGGGTAGACTTTTCCTTTAAGTCTTTTATTAGGTTGGATCCAAAGAGCCAAGACAAGAATTCCCAGCAAAGAGAGTGACTAACATGATGAGAAACAAATGAGTAATCAATGAGTCATTGCTCCAGATTGTAAATGTCTGGTTTGGAGAAAAGACTGCAGTCTTTGGGGGTTCTGGGTATAAAGCTTATTACCTACAAACAAACACAGGTAACATGGTTTTTACCACATTTACCAATTCAGACCATCAGAAAATAAAGGACAGGTATTTCATTAAAGCTTAACAGCCTATAAGAGGTCACAGACAGGGCGTCATAAAGCATCTATTGCTCATTTGACTTTTTTGTAGTTCCCTGTTGTGGGATTTGTGAAGAGATTTAAAAGTGACTCAATTACTGCAGAGTAGGATACACTCAGGATGAATCAATAAACGGGAAAAAATGAAGAAAAGGCTCACCTGTGTGTATGAGCACGTGTCTACGCAAGTGGTAGGAGCTGCGGAAGGCAGCGTTGCAGTGCTCACAGATATGTGGTTTGGAGTTGGGGGATAAGCAGGCTCCATCCCCATCCAACATCATACCCTACAGAGGAATATACACAGAAATGTTTTTTTTCTCATTCACACAAACTTTTGTACTGATAGAGGAGGGGAAATCTCATTGATTAACCTTTGAAGGATCACTGCGTTTCCTCCGTGCTTTGCCTCCTTGCCCATCTCCGTTGCTCCTTCTACCTTTTCTACCTGAGGACTCTTTTGGCTCTTTACCTGGTCTTCCAGGAATCTAAAAAACAAACAAACAAAAAAACAGAAGACTTTAGAGAAAGCATCATTTGCATGCCTCCCTTAAGCAGAGCAGAAAAAATTTTTAAACACAAAGCCAGACCAATCATATGCTAAATCATTTGGAGACCAGGCTGCTTCTTACCTGTTCTCCCAAACTACGAACATTACTGAGGCTAAGGTCATGCAATAGCATGTTCTGGTGATTTTGGTGCTGGTTTCCAAAAGACATATCAGGCATGTCAGTAGCGTTCTTCCCTGTGCCCCCTCCGGGACAGTTGACCCCGACTCCTCCGCCCCCGCTATAGAGGGGCATTCGATAATCCAGCTCACTCAGCCGCTCCTGTTTAATGCCCATGCTGTGAAGGAAGCCCCCCGTGTTGGCAGCTACGGAGCCCTGGTGATCTGGGGGCGAATCTCGCTCTTTTTTCAGAATCATCTCTTGCGGAAGCTCGCCGATGACGGACTGGGATGCCAGGCGTGTAAAGCTGGTGACTGGTGGCAGGTGGCTGAACATAAGCATACCTGGTGCGAAATTGGGGTCCATGCCTCCATTGCGCAAAAACTCATTACCCAACTTGTCTTGAATAATACTCATGGTGGTGATTTACTTTGTGCCAGGGGGAGCAGGAGGGTGATTAATCTAATGAGGAATGCAGGAGGAGACCATTCTGGAAAAGAGAACAGATAAAAACATGTCTTCATGAGAAAGTAAAGTGGAAGAAACATTTAAGTTAGCTGTACTTTTAACACCTCAGAAATGATGTTTTGGTGTGATTATTACTATAATAAGTAACACAGTAAATTTTTTAGTCAAAAAGAATTGCATAACTGCACTATAGTAAAAGATGGAAGATAACAACCAGACAGACAGCAGCAGTTAAATTGGACGACATGATCACATTATACTTTTTATCTCTTTATCTTTCCGCTTTCCCACAAACCACTGAAACATTCCCAATAATCACTGAGCAATAAGGCTGCAAATACTCATGTACCAAGAGACAACCTTGTGACTAAAATTAGGACGTTTTTCAGCTCGACTAGTCCTAGCATATCTCTTTCAAATGCTGAAAAACCACAAAGATAAAATAAGCTTTTTAAATAGAAGGTGTATTTTTACAACATGCCTGTGATCCTTTTAAGTTTGCAAGACTTTTAAAAAGATACCAGGAAGGCTAAACGGACTACAGCAAAGTTGGAGCATGGCTCCAAATCTGCCTGATATGAATAATATTTGAACTTTATTGATCTCACACTGGAGAAATGTACTTCTGCATTTTACCCATCACCTTCGGGAGCAATGGCCTGCCATCGTGGGCATCCAGGGAGCAATGCGGGGTTAAGGGTGTTGCTCAGGGGCCCCGAATGGCAGTCTGTGGGAGGGGGGCTTGAACTCAGAACCTCAGGATTCCAAGCTCTATGCCCTAACTACTAGGCCGCCACTACCCCATAGAATATTATTTAATTTAGTAGAACTAGTCAAGCTAAATGCCAGATCCTCAATTAGCAAAAAATGTCAGCTCTAATAATTGTATTCTGTTTTTATAATGTCTCTCTCTTTAACAAAATCAACTAACAGTAGGAGAGGTAGAAATATTATTTAACAAGGTAGTTCTAGATGAGAAGTTTTTTTTATTTGTGTATTAGTTTCAAAAACAAGCGATTACAAATCCAACGCTTATCTCTACTTGCATTGCATACTATTTTAAAAACAGGAAACCGCAGTGTATTTTTGTGCAGTTTGCAACAAACACATTAGTTACCATTAACCTAGGTTTTCCCTCACCCTTCTTCTAATGGTGGCTTCAAGGACAGTGAAGTATATTGAAATGGTCAGATTTTTATTGACAGGTTTAGAAAAATGTGCGGGTTGTAAAAAAAAGGTGGGCTACATGGTTCTTGTTTTATTTTTTTCCAAATATCTCTGCTGCAAGCTATATCCATAATCTACATAATCGGAAGTTGTATTTTTATTATTATTTATTTTTTGTGATTTAAAGTTGGATATTAATGGAAAAAACTAAAGATAAGTAAAAACAAAGCTAAAAATTACTTAAGACTGAGAGGATTGTTTGACCGTAACAGAGCTAATAATAGATAAGAAGAAAACTGATAATTTATGTAAGATTTTAATCTTAACCAGACTGGAGTAGGATCATAATCTAAAAAGAATTTTCTTGCAGATTTCTCTTTTTCCCCCCATTTAAATTCTTAAAAACATCATACAGTAAAAGGCAGAAGTGCAAAATGTTACAGAAAAAACCCCAAAACAACCTAATATGATATCTGGAAGGTTTAATCCAGCTTGTATTGTTCCAAATTCAACGCCACATGTGACATGGACTGTTGCCAAAATATGAATGCTGTGGTCCCTTTACTGCTTTTAATGCACATCCATTTTTCCCCCCATAAGGAACCTAAAACATGCTGATTTAGATTGGGAAGAAAGGAAAAAAATGCAAACAAAACTCAGGAGACTGGCTCGATCACACGAACAAATTAATCGCTTCAGCACCCTTGCCTACAACAAAACAATATTTAGGTCAAATCCGAGGATACATTTCTGCGTTATGTTAGACAGCGTTAAGTCAGACGTGTAGCTAAACACGTACAGAGCGACTGAAGAGTTTATTGTTTAGTCTAGACCTGGTGACCATTTGGCAAAGCGACGCAGCACGAACAGAAAACGGATGAGCTTTTGTGATGCATAATAGTTAGCCAGCTAGTTAGCATAGTTAGCCTGCTACAATGAGACAATCAAAGCATCTCTGCGTCCTCAACCAAAACAATCAATCCTGTTACCTTAAAACCATTTTTTTATCCTTCAAATGAACCTATGCCAATCTTAAAAGTAAAGACAAACCACTCATCTTTGAAATAATCAACAAGAAAATAAAAAAACAACAATGTAGTGTTTAAGCGTGTTACCTGGAATTGCTATTAAGCTAGCTAAAGCTAAATAGGGCTCGTGATTAAATGCAGATCACTCTATTATTAACCCGTTGAGAAAGTAATACTTTTAGAAAGCGCCCATAAAGTGAGACAAACTGGATAGTTTGGGGGGAATTTGAGGCTCGCTTTATTAAAGTGGCTGAAATAGCACGTTTGCTTTGAAGTATTGCTCATTCTCCAATTCCCCAGCTTTGATGACGCCCGTGAAATCAAATCTGTCTGGCTGCGAGCAGCGCTGGCGCTCTATTTATTGATGGCTAACTAAAACTTTAATTATCAACGGATAAATCCCACTCAGACCGAGTGCTCAGTGAAATCCCGTGTAATTAACGGGTTTCGAGTATTTTTAAACTCTAAAAAGGCCGAACAGAATTAAAACTACTCACTTCTGAGGAGTTGTGTTTATAACAATCAAGCCGCCACGAGCTAGCAGGTTAGCTTCTTAGCTGCCCCTGTCTGAGAGCCGCATTAGGGCCCAGGCAACAGAAACAATGATGCTGCGACTCCGTGCATCTCCTGCTTGCGCTTAGCCGAGCAATTGTTCGCCTAATTCTCGACAAAAGGTCCGAGCTCGACGTCAATAAAATGCAGTTTGGCTTCCCACTCACCTACGCATGGCCGCAGCTAGTTTCAAACGTGCCTATATTGTGTCTGTATTCGCCGCTGATGGGGGTTTATAGCCAAAACATTGTTCTCCGGCGGCTGCTGCTTTCTTCCATCTTGTCCCGGAGCGGGGAATTATGGGTGCAGCGGACGGGTCGTGAGAGGAGACAGGCGAAGGCTGCAGAGGAGCTCACTGCAGCTAAATACGGGATGAAATAAAAATAAACCGTTTTCCGTAAATGCGTCAGACTTGAGGTCTTCTTTCAAAGTTCTTTGCTCAGCACATTTGTTTCCCCCAAATACGAAAAAAAAAAAAACTCCTAAGAGCACTAATCAGCTTTGGGATTAAAGGAATCAAGTGTGTTTGATATTTTATTAAAGTAAGACCTAAATGCAGCCTTTGGTAATTTGGGACAGAGCTTTTTTGTTTGTTTTATTTGTGCTTATTTGAAATTTCAGAAAATATGTTCTAATTTTCAGTTTTCCTGGTTTTCACATTTATGTCAGATGAATAATTAAAAATAATATAATTATTTCACAGTTGTGTTATACGGATAGGGGTTTAGGGCAACTAAAAGAAAAAACGAAACAAAGCTGATTTTTTAATTTTATTTTAGTTTAATATGGGGAAAAAAGTCAGAATTCTGACTTTAATCTCAGAATTCTGACTTTTTTTTCTCAGAATTTCTGAATCTCTGTGTTACTACCTTGTATTTTTTTTATTTCTTATTTCATATTATTTATTTTTATTCTATTTTTATTCCTAATTCACCTTTTCCTCTTTGTTTGCACCTTCTTTAAGTAGCTTGCCAATATGTGACCAGTGAATTTATCCGCTGTGAGATCAATAAAGCTCATCTAATCTAATCTATAATCTCCAAATTCTGATTTTTTTTTCTCAGAATTTCTGACTTTAATCTCAGGATTCTGAGTTTTTTCCTCAAAATTTTGCCTTTTTTTCTCAGAATTTTGACTTTTTTTTCTCAGAATTTTGACTTTAATCTCCAAATTATGACTTTTTTCTCAGAATTTCTCACTTTAATCTCAGATTTCTGACTTTTTTCTCAGCATTCAGAATTTTTTTTTCTAAGTATTCTGACTTTTTTCTTAGCATTCTGACTTTTTTCTCAGAATTCTGACTTTTTTGTCAGAATTTCTGACTTTAATCTCAGAATTCTGACTTTTTTCCTCAAAATTTTGACTTTTTTCTCAGAATTTTAACTTTAATCTCCAAACTTTGACTTTTTTCTCAGAATTTCTCACTTTAATCTCAGATTTCTGACTTTTTTTCTCAGCATTCAGAATTTTTTTCAAATTATTCTGACTTTTTTCTTCTGAATTTAATCTCAGAATTTCTAACTTTATTATTAGAATTCTGACTTTTTTCCCATATTGAACTGAAATGAAAATTAAAAATCAGTTAACCTTTTTTCCAGTGGCCTTAATGCCCTTCCGTAGAAACATCACATATGAAAAAATAGTAAAAATATTTTGTATTCATTTCTATTACCTTACACATCATTAGTAGCTAATTTATATTATTTAGCTGTAGTTCTTCAATGATCTGTTTTTTTAATTCCAATGTATTAAATGCTACTAAACATATATTAATAATTAGCGTTGACATAAAAATCATTATGCAAATAGTTCGAAAGTAACTTTGAAGTTTTATAAGGTTGTGCTGTCTGTGAATGTTTAATGTTGTTTTTTGTTCGCAAGATACAGTACGCTAAATCTTAATTCTAAAATGTGCCCTCTGACTCATGCCTCTTAGTTTGCTGTTTAAACTTTAATAATATTCATAATAGCACTGCGGGTATAACGGCAGATCCATCATATTTAGAACAAACCCGTATAAAAAAAATCTGTGGTATTATAAAAACATAAAGAAACATTTCCAAAACAAGTAGAAACATATTATTACAGAGAAAAGACAACAAACTCAACCTAAAATCTCCCATTCACTGTTGTAACTCAGTTATCAAAGAGCAAGGTCAAGTAGGTGGTGGAATAATCTTAAACTGAGGCACCATTTAGATATTATTGTTCTTATTGCTAATGACGTGGTGAACTTTATGTAATCTAAAAACAGAGAAAGAGGTAACACAATATCAACTAACATGCAAAGGTCATTCGGTTTAGATAGAGTGTCATGTTGTCTAAAGATAGGGGTCTGGTGGTATCTCTGCTATACACAAATATATATATATATATATATATATATATATATATATATATATATATATATATATATATATATATATATATATATATATATATGGACGCACTGTATATACCCCCATGCACTTTTGTTCCCTTTGGCATCTTATTGTTTTTGACTATTTGAGCTGATGTAATGAGTAAATTTCTCCACTGCGAGATATATAAAGTCAACCAATCAATAATAGATTTTAAAGTTTATGAGTGAGGAATGCTAATGTTTTTTTCATTCTAGCCAAAATTTAAAAGCATAAATGTAGACCCTAAGATATGATAAGTCAAATCATGCGGCTTTGTCTGTGTTGCTTTATTGGATTGCTTACTAAGATGTACCCTCAATAACCTGCATCACCTAATTTATTCAAGTGATATGTTAAAGATATAACAAAAACATAATAGCAATAAATACATAAATAATTTGATCCACTGTTTTAAAACATTTAGCATGTTTTCTTGTGTTTTTTTTTATAATTGATTTTGGACTAATCAATTCAATGGGCCAAAACCCTTTGTATTTCCAATTTCAGACCATTTAGAACAATGATGAAAGAGAAATCCATTACAATATTTAAGCCTAAATTTTATTCCCAAGTACCATAAGAGTAAACTATAATTATATATATATAAAAAAACCTTTGTACAAAGTTCTATTCCTAACTTTATAAAAGACATTTCATTATAGGCACAGGTTTGCCTCAAGTTTACTTCTACTGCCTCAACACTAGGGGACACTAAAAAGACGTAAATATATATATATGAGGAAAATGTCAGATTTGCAATAGTTTACACATATTTGCCAGATATATTTATAATAAATAAATAAAAAAATAAGCAAGTCTACTTAAAGTTTGAGCGCACTCCTTGTTTCTGACTGTGTGACATGGAATAAAAATGTGTCACTAGTAATAAACAGTCCTGTGCATGTAGTGCGCGCAGAACATTTTTCTTTTTTTTTCTTTTGTTCAATTAAGAAAAGCTGTATTTGAATATAACGCACAGCTTTTAATTGTAGTCCTAAACATTCCCCCTGTAGGAGGTGGAGCACCAAGTCGGTACTTGGAAGAAACCTCTCTGCGTAAAAAGGGGTCCATTGCGCAGAATCTCTGCTCGCTTACGATTAATTTACAGAAGAGAGGAACATCTCCATCTCTCAGGATGCAAGAGTAGCGCGGTGGACAGTGCAGCTGCATGGTTCTGGAGGACAAAAAAAGTTGCGCAAAAAGCCCAACCCTGTGCCAAGAGACCTTTTTTGGTTTTGTAGTTAGGTGAGTGGCACGATGTCGGCTCTACGGAGGAAATTTGGAGGGGACTATCAGGTGGTGAACACCAGCAGAAGCATGACTTTTTCTGCACCGGTGAAGAGGAAGCGGCAGCGCTTCGTGGAGAAGAACGGCCGCTGCAACGTCCAGCACGGTAACCTTGGCGGGGAGACCAGCAGGTACCTCTCCGATCTCTTCACCACGCTGGTGGATCTCAAGTGGCGTTGGAACCTGCTCATCTTCATCCTCACCTACACCGTGGCGTGGCTGGTCATGGCTTCAATGTGGTGGGTGATCGCGTACATCCGTGGAGACTTAAGCAACGGTGGCCACGACCCGTCCTACACCCCGTGCGTCGCCAATGTGTACAACTTTCCCTCCGCGTTCCTCTTCTTCATCGAGACCGAGGCTACCATCGGCTACGGCTCGCGCTACATCACAGAAAAGTGCCCAGAAGGCATCATCCTCTTCCTCTTCCAGTCCCTGCTGGGCTCCATCGTGGACGCCTTCCTCATCGGCTGCATGTTCATCAAGATGTCGCAGCCGAAGAAGCGCGCGGAGACGCTCATGTTCAGCCAGGACGCGGTGATTTCGCAGCGGGACGGAAAGTTGTGCCTCATGTTTCGAGTGGGGAATCTGCGTAACAGCCACATGGTGTCCGCGCAGATCAGGTGCAAACTCATCAAGGTAGGCTGAGACCAGGATCCAAGGTGATCTTTTTTGCGCAATCCCATCTCTGGGGATGAAAGTAGAGACTTAATTTGCTGTGCCATGCGTTAACTCCCTTTTAATCTTATAAATGTCCAAATTCCCTAAGGGTCTATATATTCATAATTAAATGTATTTTAATGGCTCACCATTCTATACCCTGAAGGTCTACTTTGGAGCTGAATGTATCTCTCTATGCAGGTTTTTTTCCCTGTGTGGAGCTGCTGAGTTTGCTCCCTGATAAATTCCCCACAACTTCTATTATCTCCTTTTTATTACCTTAAAAAATATTCTTCCAACATTTTACCACGTTGCAGCTACATCCATAGACGTGCTATAGTAGGATTTTATGTGGAATGTCAGCATAAAGTGGTTTCTCACTGCAAAAAATGTAAATCTCAGTAAGTAACTTTTTTTTTCTTATAATAAGTGCATTTTTTCTTTAGTTAAATAAGACACTTTACCAATGGAGCAAGACAATTTACAGTTAAAATAAGGGAAAAACAATTGTATTGTCTTATTTCAAGTGCATGATATCTAATTATCTTATTTTAAGAGTAAAAATACTCATTCCATTGGGAAATCATCTTATTTGCCTGCTCAAATTAAGAGTAAATACAATTAATTTAAGACATTTTTACTCATTTTTAGGCCATTTCTGCATTGTGGAAGTAAAAACTATCCTCCTCTGGAGCAATGCTTTAAGTGCATGTCTCAAATAAATTTGCAAAGAAACATACACTTTCTATTTATTCTTCTAGAATCAAGCATCTAGAATAAAGAGTCTTTATTATCAGTATATCATCATAATGATTTCCTTCTGAGACACCGGCTAAAATGTAGGCTCATGATACCAATGTATTTGAAAATATATAAACAAGATGAGATCACATAGAATGTGGCATTTAAGTATTTAGATGAAATGCAGCTTGTGCTTAATCAGTTAATGAAATGAGCTGGAGGTTTTGTTAATTTTCAGCAGGGATGCTAAGTCTGTGCCTTCTGCTGTACGATTGCAAACCCAATTTTAGATAGATTTTATGGAAATTATCTGTTTACCTCAGTTTTTACAGTAAATCTTGTCCAACATTCTCAATCTGATTTAGGTCTGGAGAACCATTCAAGCACATAAATACTATTAAATCCCCACCATTTCATTGTAACTGTATGTTGAAGCTTTTTGTCCTGCTGGAGGGTAACATCTATTTATTTTGCCTCTGACAGGAACCCCCCCCAAGCTCCTAAGTATTCAGCTTTATCTATCCTCTAATAAACTCAGATCAGCTTCTCTTTTCTGCTAAAGAAAAATATCTGTATTGTGGGATTTGTGTTTTCATGGTGATGTGGAGAGGTAGTTTTTGTGTCTAATTTTCATCTCATCTAAACAAAGCTCCTTTTTCCTTGCTTGTCATTTCCACAACATGCTTTTTGACTAGCTGCAAAGCTTCCTGAAGAGATTCTCTCACCAGAGCATTTAAAGCTCCATGGCTCCTCCAGACTCATTGTGTGCCTCTTGGCTCATGTATGGTGAAGTCCTTGTTGAATTGTGAAAAAAAATAAATAAAAACTCTTTAGGCATGGACACTTTTTCAAATACTCACAATCAATGTTTACATATTTAATAATTAGATTCAAGCTATGAATTTTGATTAAAAAAGTTTCTGTACATTGAGTGATGATGTGCAATATATGCAAACCTCAAGGTTGGCTTTTCCTGAGTTCAGAAACCCTGCACTGATCTGAAGCACAAAGCTGACAGTGAGAATGCGTTTTATGAAACGCTGTCAGTACATAAAAAAGGCAGAAGATAAAAGCAAAGCTGAGGCAGCTCCTGGTGGCTGCGATAGAAGACAGGAGGATCACACATGACAATTTTGCAACTGAAAAAAACAGCAACAAATCTTCAGCAACAAAACAGGGCTTTGGCATTTTGCTGTCAGCAGGGAGATGTTTTTTGCATTTCTGAAAAGTAGTATTTTTGCATCAGCTGTGAAAAAAACAAACAAAGCCTCTTTATCAAAATATCCCACGGCATGTACTTCTGCTCTAGCTCTCCAGTTTAAACTGTTAACAGATGACTGTAGGGGTCTACTCTACTATGTGTCTGTGACAGGTAGAGTTAGAGGTACATTCACAGTGTCTGCGTTACGATCTCATGTGACAAGAAGGGAGAGCTTCCAGTATAAGCCTAACTGCTACTACTGGGTTTCTACCTTATTATTATACAGATTTTAATTACAAACCATTAGTTTCTGTTCTCTTTTTCTTGTTTTTCATTTTAGTTCTAGAATAGAACTGATCACTACACATTTAAAGTATTTAATTTATTAATGAGTTATACCTTTGGTTTCAGCTCCTTCTTTAATAGCGTACATTTCATTTTTTTTTTATCATTTCTTTTCTAATTAATAGCCTGGAAAGGCAAAGGAAAATATGGCCTCTTGATTGCATTTAACAACCCATCAAAGAGAAGTAATCAAGGGGGAAAAAATGCACAATCATCCCTTTTCCTCCCTCCACAGAGACTGTAGTAACTCTCAGACAGTTTAATGCTCCATTGTCCTTTTCTTTAACTCAGTCCGTTTCTGTTTTAAATGGCCAAAGAAGAATCGTTTATCATGTTGACGTTATCTCAGTGGATTTACTATGTAAGAAGATTGTTGGAACAGTGTTGGCTTTGGTGTACTTTATTCAGACAACACATTTTCTTATATTAGCTGCTGTAGTGCTGTTGTAACCTCAATTTTTGTTTACCTGTTAGATTTAATGAACCTGAATTTTAATTACAGGAGGAATTCAAATCGTTTTTGTTTTTATTTCTTTATTCAGTTAAAATATAATTGATGTTGTATCAAATACAAATTTATAAGCTTATGCAAAATACAACATTAGGATTAAATCCTGCAACTAAATTATTGAATCTTATTTGGTCATTGGATTATCTGTAGATCAATTTATGTAATGAAAAATGTTTTTATTTAGGTTTTCGCAGGACTAGGGGCTCATTGTTGTATAGTAGTGTCACAGGAAAAGGGGTAGAAGAGGGAGAGACTTGCTGCATAGGACCACACGGCGGATTCTAACCTGGCTTGGCCACTAAAGTCTCCATACGTGGGTCGTGCGTGCTAACCACTGCGCCACGGAAATATGCCCTGATTAAAAATAATAGCCAAATTTGTTATTCCTCCCTTTAATTACAGTGCTGCTTCTTCCCACTCTGTCACAAAGCTCCCTAAAACAGATAGTGGTTGATAATGAACTGAGAGCCACTCAGATTTCTCTTCAGGTTATGGTGATTGAAACAGTTTGCCGCATCAAGGTGAATCATCTCTATATTAGAATACACAAAGCTTGTGGTGATCTCAGTGCCTTGCAGGCAGTTTTTTACACATTGTACTTTAGCAGATTCTTTAATTTCACCAAAAACGTAAGTTTATTTTTTTTGGAGAGAATTTTAGTTGAGTAAAGATTTTCAAATAGTTTAAAACTGTTTGGTAGAAAGCTAAACGCATTTATTTTTTTCATATTGCCAGGGAGAATCTGAAACGTGTGGAGTGCTTTTGTACCTATCTCTTTTTACTCCAAAACCGTTATTGCTACTGATCGTAGTAGCTCTCAGAAATCACCTCAATTAGTGGACCATTTACCTTAGTGTTCATTGTGATTCTATGTGTTAGTGGAAGGCTTTACACTTTTGTTAGATAGAATTTTTGAAAAAATATACAGTATGTAAGGCTTTTCACATATCACAGATAATGAAGAATACGGCACAACTGCAAACACTCCAGAAATGGTGATCTACCTGAAGACTGAGAGGCAGGGTAGGTGCTACAGAGATTCTCTTGTATGGCAGAAGAGTCCAGCGACAGGACAGATGTTGATCCACTGTGGACAAAGCTCCAACAAACAAAAGGATAATTTTACCAGCAACATAGAGAAGACATTACAATTTTACCGAAGGAATTTATACCAACTCTAGGTCTGTATCCCTTTTACCGACTCTAAGCAACTTTGAGGAAGGTGACAGTAACCCTTCTATGCAAAAAACTACAAATGTGCACATTGCATTATGGCAAGAAAGAAACTGTCTAAACTGTTTAAATAAGCAGCTTTTATTTAGACAGAAATTAAGTTAAACAAATCAGATAAAAGAAATATGCTAACACTAAGCAATAACCATTTCACCAATAGAGTCCATCTCTGTGTGTCATTTAATCTCAATATTAATCAAGCTGTTGTGTGTGTTCAGGTTGGTTTGGAAACATTAATGTTAAAAAAAAAACTCCTAAAGACCAAGGGGCACAGCAGATAGATCAGATAAATGTTGTCTGAAGTTTGCAAAATTATACCAGCCTATGAGCTGCTGCCAAAGGGCTCTTCCATCCATATTCGGAAAATGGTAAAAGTATTAAGCAACTAAGTAACAACAAAGACATGGTTTTCAAACTAAATTAGTATTAAGATCGAGTATTTCCCAAAAAGCAGAGAAGCCCATGATTAACTTGGTGGAGCTGAACCTGAACCTCAAATAGGAAAAACTGTTGACAGGACTTCATCTTTCATAAAATAAAAGTAGAAAGTTTCCCCGGAAAAAAGATACAGTATTGTGACATGCCTTGGAACAAAAGTATAGAATATTACAGAATAGTAATACTCCATAATTGTCCCATACTACAGAAATTCAGCTGTGCCAGTGACAAATCAAATAGTAAAAGTACACTATAGAGCCAAGAAAAACAATGCATCTCAAAAAGGAAAACATTGTGCAGTTATTTAAAAATGGCATTCCTACTCATATTAAATAAAAATACTCAAAAAGGCAGCATGTTATTTATAAAAGAAAGAGAAGAAAAATGCAAATATTTGCATGGATGCAGGAAAACTTTATATAGCAGGTATAAACTGCAACTAACAGCATGTTTGTAAGGACTTATTGGGCCCTTTGGGAGCATTGATGATTATAAAGGCTAATATGAGCT